CATAAGCAAAAAGAAAAAAGCCGGAAGTGGCACTGTGGCTCAAGTGGTAGAGCGCTAGCCTTGAGCTGAAGAGCTGAGGGACAGCGCCCAGGACCAGAGTTCAGGCCCCACGACCGGACCCCCCCAAAAAAAAGAAAAAAAAAGAATAAAAATGTTTTGAGTTAAACACACACAGAATTTTTTTTTTTTAAAAAAGGAGTCTAAGTTTTGGAGTTAAAAACTGAATTTGCATCCTGGACCCAACATTGAACAGTACTTAGCACACTGTGACTCAGACTCCTCAAACAAATGACAGTTCATACTGTATAGATTTATTTGGAATTTGAAGAATACTAAGCCATGTTAACAAAGGAATATGGTGTTTAGCATCTATTGCTTTGATATGCTACAAGATAATGCTTTACCAGGAAATGAATGACAGATCTATGACATCACTATTTTGGTATGAATAGAAATAATGAGATTCTTCTTTCTGTGGTTGATGATCAGAAAATAATACACAAAACAGTAATGTAACAAATAACTATGCTACTCAATTAATGTAAGGACTTCCTTTGGAATAATATTAGAAAAATACTAGGTCACCTCTGCAATCAAATCCTGACAATATGAATTATTTTAAGATCTAAATTCATAAGGAAATGATTATGTGATTAATCTAAACATAGAAATTTAATCAGGAAAAAAACCCTCAGGAAACTGTTGAGAACTGAGAAATTTTATAACTTTATTCAGTTATATTCACTACTGAACACCTTCTACATATTAGGTGTGGTCAAGACAGATGTGTTCCTAACCTGGAGATGAAGAGGGAGGAGGGGTGAGAATACAAGACATTTATCTCAGGGAGTGTGCACAAGGGTTTGTTTAAGAAATGCTCACATCCGTGGACCGGTCCCTCCGCAATGCCGCCTCATTCATGCCCGTGAGGTGTGCCCCCCATTTCCCACCATCGCCACCACCCCCCAAACCCGCCCTCCCTCCTCCCTCCACGCCACCCCCCCTCCTCCATGAGTGCTCAGGCCCCTAACTTCTTCCCTGTCCCCTCGGAGAAACTCCCAAGTTCGATCTCCTCCCGCAGGACCCCCAACCCCCCGGGGCCGACAGACTTGGACAGCAATAAGCCAGAAGTCCCTCCAGTCCTGTACTTAGTCTGTGTACAAATGTAATTATCTTCATCGTGTACATACAGCGAGCGCCTGCCGTGTGCGAGAGGCCACTTCTAGAATGATCGATCGCTTCCACACCAATGTTCATATCGCATTTTTATCATGTTAAATAAATGATGATGTTCTTAAAAAAATGCTCCTCAGTGAGATAAAATGAGTAGAGCTGTAAAGAATGGCCAGAACTGCCTAACATCAAGGTTAATTAGAAGGCATTCTAAAAGGATAAAGAATGGATCTGATGGAAAACCTCAAATTAGTTTCAAATAAGCCAAGGAATACTTGTGTAAGGCAAGGTGGCTATACTAAAGCAGAATTTATATAGGATATAATCTTAGTAGAAAAATTGAAATCAAATATCTTCCTTTTTTCTTGATCTTTGTGTGCTGGGGTTTGAAGTCATGGCCTTATCATAGCTCCCGAGCACTATATCACTTGAACCACAATCTAAGCTGTTTTTGCTTAGTTATTTTTCAGTGAGCAGCCTGTGCTAACCTCCCCAGCCTTGACCTTGATCTGTCTATCCTATCTATCTATCTATCTATCTATCTATCTATCTATCTATCTATCTATCTATCTATCTATACACACACATACACACACACACACACACACACACACACACACATTCTGATGCTGTGTATCTGAGACAAGTATGAGCCACTGCTCTTGGCTAAATCAAACATTTTGAAATCAGTACTTTTTGAGTGACCTAGAAATACGTTTACGAAAGACAACTTTCGATTTTAAAGGACATATATGAGAGTAAAATCTTATTCCTGATCTTTTCATAATGCTATCAGCTATACAGTGTTACTTTGCTTGGTGAAAATTATCACCCCCAGGGAAATATGTTCTTTGATATTGAGTGAAGTTCTTTGATATTGAGTGAAAGAGTTGCCAGAACAACTGTGTAAGAGTTTTGTTTTTGTTTCTTTTCTCTGTGGACATCTCTATATCTGTAAAGATGAAAGGAAGAGATACAAATGTGATGAGCTTTAAAACATTTCTTTTTAAGAGATTATTATTTTCTTGTTCATGTCACATGTGGTTAATTTCTTTTTACTATCTTTTACTTGTTAGATATCTTACACTCCTAGTTCCTTCCATCCTCCAAAATCACATTAGTAAAGAAGTTTAAACCTCATATTAGTGAAAAGGTTGCAAGCATCTTAAAAGGTAGTAATAGAAACAATCAAGCGGCTTCTGTTAGGTTGTCACTATGAATTTGTTACTTTTTGTCCAGTAAGATTTGAAGGTAAATAACTTTATATACAAAAGAACTAAAGCAAAAAAAAAGCAAGTACTGAGCAGGGATGGATATTTTCTTATATTGAGAAAATCTTCTCTAATAGACTCTATGTTCTATAAGAGCAGAGAGAGAGAGAGAGATGAATCACTATCCAGAACCAAGTATCTGGGCCTATTGTCTAAATTGTGTTCCATGAAATGTATGTTGAAATACAGTGCAATTAATGAAAGAAGAAATTAATCAATGAATGAAGTATATGAAAATGAACTACAGGTACAGATTTAAATATAAATAAATGTGGAATAAGTTCATATTAAGGTTTCTATCATATTCCTTTTGGATAGGTTGATTAATGTCATTGGGTCATTAGTAGCATTCCGTTATGAGACTATAGGAATTTATGAGGGCTTTTCACCTAAGCTTGTATGAGTCATTGCAACCAATGTCAAGGTTGAATTAGTGATGATGGCCTGAACCAATTCAATGCAGGCAATAATAAATTTGGGCTGACACACTTCCAATGGATCAGAAGTGAAACTGTAAGCAAAACAAAACTCTTTTGTGTCCTGAACATCCTGGTAGTTTTATTTTGTCTCATTATATGATAATACCAATACTGAATGAAGAGCTTATAAGAATCATTTGTAATTTCTGTGTCATTTCTTCAAATTCTCCTCCCCAAAGAAAACCCATGAAAGAAAATCACAAGCCCATGTTAACAATGGATCTTAGGAAGATCTAGCCCAAATTCTGGGGCTACAATATTGATTTTACCTCATGTAATTCACTACGACACACACACAAACACACACACACACACATGCACACACACACACACACACACAAAATGACTTTTCTTTTTTTTTTATTGAACCCTTGGGTAGCGCTGGTGTTTCAACTCAATGTTCAAACTCTCTGGGCAAGCACTCTAATACGAGTCACAACCCAGACCTTCAGTGGGTATAATCTTTAATTTACTTATTTAATCTATTTATCTCATAATGGTATGTTGATATGTTAACATGCAAATGTGTAGATTATTATGCAGAATTAATAATTTAATATTGATATATTAACATAAAACTATAAGATAAATTGATGAAAAATTGTTATTAAAACACATTAAAATTGTTCTGGCTCTTTCAGTTCCTTCAGTTCTAAACCTAAGACACATTAATATTTTCAGATGGACTCAAATTTGGATGTGATTTTAGAGTCAGAAAAAATGCACATGCAGGCATGCGCACACACACACACACACACACACACACACACACACGGACATTCACACACAAAAGAAGCTGTTTCTTACACTGTTAAGAAAAACCTCAGACTCTTAGGTTCCTATGATAACTGGATTATCTCAAGTGGTCAAAATGTTACACGAAAAGTTCAAGGAAATAAATCAGGCACCTTGAGTCTGGAGTTTTTAGTAAGTAGCAGCAGAGGAAGCAGTCAGAACTGACATGGACTCATCAAGACAACATTCCAAAGAACTGTCTCCTTCCCTCTTTCTTTTTCTTTATCTCAACTATACAGCTTCTCAACTATTGTTCTGTCATAATTAGCGTCTATCAATATGTTTTGGGGAGAGAGATAACCAGTCTTTAGGGAACTCAAGCACAATTGTGACAAGAGAACCAAATAGCAATGCTAAGCCATCACTGTTAAATGACATTTCCTTGTTAAGCACTACAAATCTATGAAAATCTTATGGGAAATTCTTACTGCCCTCCAATTAACTTTTTAACTTCTCGTTCTTGACAAAACAAGAGATGAAACAGGATGGGAAGAAAGTCTGACCAGATTCTTTTGGTTTACTAAATAACTTTCCCCTTATTAATAACGCTTAACAATGCTTTTTAGAATGTAATACCTTATAATATGTGAAGGAGCCTTCACATACATCCATACAGTTTAACTGTCTATGGCTATGTGAAGAAAGAAACTTCAAATCTGTGTACATATATGTATATAGATATATGTATACATATGTATATGTACATACATTTGAAATATATTTATATGTGCATATTTAATACTACAAATAATTTTATCATAAGTTAATGTGTGCACCTTATCAGAAATACTACAACATCATTACAAATGAAACCCTTATTAGCACTCTTGAATGTGAAGATAATTACTAATCTTCTGAAACGTGGCTATCACCCACTTACAGGTGCATAGAAATATTGTCAAACCTCACAACTATCTCCTGGGGGGCCCATTCCTTCCTTGGGGACTAGTCTTGCTTGCTTGCATTTTGATGGAGTTAGTCTGTCACCACTCACCTCTTTTTGACGGTACTTAATGGCTAATTTCAGTCTTGCAAGATCATTTCCACTTTGTTCTTCAATCAGACTATTGTCATCTCGGTAATTAAGAATGATTTCCAGTTCTCTGGAGCTTCTTGTCTGATCCAACAGATCCTTGGCAAATTGTTTGCACTGTCTGGACAGCTCCTCATACTCGGACTTGAACTCATTTTCCACCTTGCTCAGTTCTTGAAGCTCCCAACTTAATTGAAAGGCTGTGAGGAAAGGGTCTTCACTGGACAGGGCGATGAGAGAGGGACTGGCCAAGGCCTTGTAGATATTGAGGCGGGATCGTGAATGACGGAGGCTGTCCACGTCTGAACTGGAGACGCATTCCACGCAATTACAGCGGACCTCATGGGGTCGGGGCACTGAAACACCTTTTTGGACCAAAAGTTTTATTATCTCGTAATTATTTGTATGAGCTGCCAAGATGATTGGTGTAATGTCCGGTGTGAATTCGGAGAACTGCTTATCCAGGAGTATGGGAGGTACCTGGCGGGGAGAGGAGAGAAAGAAAAAGACAGGAAAATGGGGTGGTGAATATCTCTTCAGTTTTTCAAGCCTGTGAACTTCAAACAGGGTACTGTAGCAATGTTGAAGGCTCATAAATCTTTTGCTAATTTTTTTTTGCAAGAGAGACATAAGCTTATATTTTTTTAAAAAAAACAGGAAAATGGAAGAGGGAAGAAACATATTTCCAATAGAATGGCACATTATTCATCTGAATTGTGGCATTAAAAAGAATTTCTTTTCCTTTTCTTATGGATACTTGAGTTTGAACCTTGAGCCTTATACTTCCAGTCAGGTGCTACTGAGCACCCTTAGCACCACCACCCCCTGACTTCGTTTTTTGCTTTTTTTTTTTTTTTTTTTACTCAAATGGGAGGCTACTGTCAGACTGCAATCCTCTTTACCTATCTCTTCTGAGTAGGTGAGATCAAATGAGTACACCCTCATACCTGGCCTGTTGATGAAGATAGGGTCATACTAACCTTTTCCCCATTGTCTTCAAAATGTAATCTTGTCTACCTTTCAGGTATCTGGGATGACATGACATGTATGAGCAATCTTGCCTAGCCCTTGAAATTTAAAAATAGGTCCTTAGAAACTTTCAAAATTGATAAGAGCTTTTCTTCCTCTCTGCTTTGTGTGATGTGTGATGAATGTGTGTGTGTGTGTGTGTGTGTGTGTATGTTAGAATGATGACTTGATCTCAGGGCCTAGGTTCTAGCTTTTTGCTAAAAGCTGGTGTTCCAGCTCCACTTCTGGCTTTCTCGCAGACTTTACAGCTTAGGCTTGCTTCAAACTGTGATGCTCAGCTCTTAGCCTCCTCAGTAGCTAAGATTACAAGCATAGGCCACCAGTGCTGCCTCTCCCTTCTTCTTCTTCTTTTTTAAACTGATAATCTTATTTACTTTCCCAGAGATGCCACTTTTCCAATAATCAAGAATGCACTGGGGGCTGGGAAGGTGGCTCAGTGGTAGAGCACTTGCCTTACATGCCTGAGGCCCTGGGTTCGATTCCTCAGCACCACATAAGCAAAAAGAAAAAAGCCGGGAGTGGCGCTATGGCTCAAGCGCTAGCCTTGAGCTGAAGAGCTGAGGGACAGCGCCCAGGCCCAGAGTTCAGGCCCCAGGACCGGACCCAAAAAAAAAAAAAAAAGAATGTACTGATAACTGGTTGGGTTGTTTTAAACCAGAGGTCTTCCCTGGGCTCTTCCTATTCATTCCTCAAGGATGCTTTGTTTATTTGTTTTTTTTTCCTGTGTTTAGTTTCTGCTTTCCTCACGTGTAGATTAATGATCACAAGCAGCAGTAGAAACAGGTGGGCTGGACTCATGCTTTCTGCATCTGCCTCTTCCTGCTATAATTCCCAGGTGGGAAAAGATGCTCCATTGCTAACAAACAAATTAACCAAATAAGCTATATATAACTATGATTAATGTCATGCATGGATATTATATAATTTTAATTACTTTAGTGCTTTCTCTTAGCTAAAATATGGTCTGAATTCAACATTGCAGGGCTGGATTAGTCCTTTGAGACTGGATTGTAGTAAGCAGGTCAGCCTTCCCATGGTCTAATTGCATATGCCTTTTCTACCTGAGGCTCCTTCTCTTTCCACTTTTATGCCATGAGCACATGCAGCACCTTGATCTCCAGTGAAGATGTGGGACTCATGATTTTCAACTATCTCCAGAACTGTAAGCAAAATAAAACCTCTTTTCTAATACTTACCCAGTCTCCTGTATTTGTTACAGCAACACAAAATAGCTAAGAAAATCTCCTTATATTTTTCCTCATTAAAAAAAAAATGTGTTTTTCTCCTTTTTGGATCACTATGAATCCATCGATTTTTCCCCCTTAATTTTGGAAAATACATTGTGATTATTGCCATAGTGATTTATTTTTATGACTTATTGATGAATCACATACATACAGCAAAATCGATAAATATTAACACACATAATGGATTACTGCTAAGAATTAATGTTTCCTTAGCAAATATATATGTGCATCTATGTGTGTATATGTATATATGTACATGTACACACACACATATATATACACACACATACACACGTGTATATATTTTTGGTACTGGGACTGAACTCAATTTTGCTGTAGATAATGTGAAGAAAATAGTCCATACTACTATGGAGTATTATTGGGCTTCAAAAAAAAATCACACTTGCATTAAGGTGCATACAAGGGAATCATCACTTGAAGCAAAATAATCCAGAAAGGGAAAGATGTACACCCAGTATTTTCTTGCATATGTGAAATTCAGCTGGAAAGCAAAAATGTGAAATTAGAAAGAGTGCTATGGGAGACAAGGAGAAGGGACAGCAGAGGGCGGAAGGGTACAAGGGAGGATAATGAGGTGCTGAATATTGTTAAGGTACATTGGCTCACACCTGTAATCCTAGCTACTCAGGAAGCTGAGGTCTGAGGATCACAATTCAAAACCAGCCCAGGTAGGAAAGATGCTTATCTCCAATTAACCACCACAAAACTGGAAGTATAGTTGGGGTTATACGAGAGTATTAGCCTTCAGCAGAAAAGCACAAGGACAGCGCCCAGACCCTGAGTTCAAACTCCTTGACTGACAAAAAAAGTATATTGCATACATGCATAATAACATCATAATGAAACCCGCTATTATGTACAATGAATATAGATAAAGATAAATGACAAAACCAGAACAGAAACAATTCCTATCTTTTAAAAGGTTAAAAAATCAAATATTTATTAAGTAAAAATTACAATAAGCTAATACTGATTTATTATTATATAAAGAAAGTATTTTTCCTAAAATCGTGTGTCCTAAATATACAGAGTTTATTAGAAGATGCCAAGTGATGGCGAGTGAAATCCCGGGGCTTCCTGTGTCTTCAGCATTAGGCTCACTTGGAGTATGTCCACTGTGCAAACTCAGTTCCTGAGAAGAGCTACTTTCTGCATACTTTATGCCATGCCCTTTCTGTCTATGTACTCACCTCCAAATATGCTATGGCTGGCTGCCTGGAATATCCAGTATAGTAGTTTATTATCTAGTCTCAAAGCCTAGGTTCTTCATAAGGGGATCCACTTGGGTATGTTTAAGTAAATGCCATACTGTTCATGCAAAAAATCAAATCAAACTGTGATGTGTTTGTCAACCTATGACATTATCACATAGCATCATCATATGTCAGAACTGTATGTTTTTCTTTATGTGTCAGAAAGTACAAATACAATATGGTACATGGACAGAATGTTTGTCACTCCCCCCAACTCCTTTATCAATTCCCTAATGGGATAGTTTGTAAAAGTTGGACTTTTGGGAAGTTATTAGGTTCCAAAAACTCACAAGTACATACATGTAGGGGTCCCTATTAAAGCATTCCTTATAAAAAGAGTGACTTAGCACCGCCTCCTAAGTGCTTTCCAACAGTTGAGGACAAAAAGAAGACAACTATTTAGTCAGAAGAAAGATGAAACTGAATACTTACCAAACTTGATACCTTAACTCTTGGATTTTGTAACCTTGAGGATAATGGGAAATAGATGTCTTGGTTGAGCAAAGTGGGATACTGAAACCCAGTGCAGGCCTGTTGCCTATATTGTAGTACTGCAAGTTTGTTTTGCCTTTTATTCTGTCATTATTTATTCAATTATTTATTCTACAAGTATTTATTCAATACCTGTTTCTCAATCTTGCCATTATATTAGTCACATTATTAACTTAGTCATTGTAATATCATAGAGTACTAAACTTACTGGTTCAAAATGAGGATCCCATTAACTCATCAGCTGATTGCTGAGCTCAGGAGTCAACCACATACTTCACAATGAAATGACTACCTCTTGTCTGAGTCACAGATTTCAAAACGTAGAACAGATTTTCCTAAATATAGCCATCTCTTTGTCATTGGAATGTATGCTTTTGAACTACAAACACGTATAAAAGTTTTGGAGTCAAATTCATTCTGAAGAGACATTTACCAAAATCTAATTCCCTTAAAGTTGAGACTTATTAATATAAATTGTGAGGATACTGAAAAAAGTAATATGTTTATGAAAAAGAAACGTATTCAAATTACTCAAATAGTATTGTGTATACAATTCAAGATGCTAAAAATACAAAGATCTGTTATGGAGTCTTTATTTAATTGTGACAGACTTTTAAAGTCAGTCATATGTAAAACAGTATCTTTGTAACATGATTTTTCTGATTTAAGTATCTTTCATATATCCCTGCTGATAGCATAATAATAGAAGTTTTATAAAACCCACAATACTGTTTTCAAGTGCTTCAATAAAAATTTTGATAAACCTTAAGCAGCTGCTGATAGCTCATGATTGTAATCCTAGATACTCAAGAAGCTGAGATCCTAGGATCATGATTTGAAGCCAATCCTGGACAGAAAAAAATTCCCATGAAACTCTTATCTACAATTAACCACTCAAAAAAAAAGAAAGAAAGAAAGAAAGAAAAGAAAATGGAGATGTGGCTCAAAGTGGTAGAGTGTTAGCCTTGAACAGAAGAGCTCAGGGCCCTGAATTCAAGTGCCAAAATTGAGATAATAAAAAGAAAAAGAAAAAGAAATTTGGTAAATCTTAGTTTCCTTTTGCTTTTAGCATTAGTATGTTAATGAAATATATCAAAACACTTTAAAAGAAAGTAATATAAAAACCAATTTATCTCAAATGTGGATGGTTTGGCTTTCTAATTGAAGTCAAGGAAAAAGTTTCAACTCAAAGTTATTTTTTAAAGATTTGTTCAGCTGAGTGTCTATGTCTCATACCTGTAATTGTAGCTAACGAAGAAGCTGAGACCTGAGACTTGCCATTCAAAGTCAGCTAGGGCAGGCAAATATGAGAGAATTTTGTCTCCAATTAACCAGCCCAAAGCTGCAAGTGGTAGAGTGTTGGCATTGTGTGGAAAGTTCTAAGAGATGATGAGTTCAAGTGTCAGTCCTGGCACACATGTATACATGCACACATGTA